TGATTCTGACTCATAGCGACCCCCTTTGGGTTTCCAAGGCAGTAAATCTTTATGGAAGTAGACTGCCTAGTCTTCATTCCGAGCCATGGTTGGTGGGTTTGAACCACCAACCTTCTGGCTAGCAGTCACATGCCTTAGGCACTATGCCACCAGAGCTCCTTAGGGACTCCCATAGCAGCTAGCAAAGTACCTGGCAGCTAATAGCATTCAACAAGTATGTTGACTGTGTGTGTGAGTATATCATAAAGCAAGGTGTTCTCATGGGACAGCCCGGGAGGGTTGCTGTAAGCAGGCTTTTGTGTAGGACAGTGAATGTGGATGTAGATTTCCAGTAGTAATGGGTATAAAGACATGATAGAAGTACAGCCTCACTCTTGTGAAGTCACCTCCCTGTTGGCCATTTTCTGGCTTTCTCTGAAGATGGTCATAGCCATTGCAGCGAGCACAGGGGACGATCAGGCCACGGTGCAGACATTCTGCTCCTTTATAAGGCAGGGTTCCAAGAGGTTTGCCGATAGCATGGCTGCCAGGCCTCTGCTTGGTCACACTGACTAATGTTGATGGAGATGGAGTAAGTGCAGTGGTGAGCTTCCACTTTCTGGCCAGTTGGTAAATGTTTGCATCGTAAATCCTGCACTGCTGAAGAATAGCTCTGAGTACACAGCCATTCATACAGCAAGAATCAGGGTGCCCTCGGCCTTGGAAATGAAGCAGAGCTGATGTAACCAACCAAGTAGTTTACAGGAAAACCAAAAAGAAAAAACACACCCACCGCCATCAAGTCAATTCCAACACATAGTGACCCCCATTGGATTTCCAATGTTGTCAATCTTTACAGAAGTAGATTGCCTCATCTTCCTCCCACGGAGCAGCTGGTGGGTTTGAACTACTAGTAGCCAAATGCCTTAGCTGCTGTGCCACCAGAGCTCCTTAACTGGAAAAGGTGGGTGAATAATGGAGAATGCAGGCCCAGCCCGTGGTGCATCAATGGAAAAGAGCAAAGCAGTGCTTCCTTAAGGCCAGTTAAGATCAGGGGAAGGCAGGCCCGCCATCAGCATCTTTTCACAGTTCTCCAGCCTTTTATGGAACTTCCATGAACACTAGGCCCACGTTTATGCCTCTCTAACGAGCTTAAGTAACAGAAAAGTGTGGTTTCATGCTTTCAAATCATCTCAAGGCCAGAGCCAAGGAACAGGGTTCAGATAACTTGTTGCTGTCTTGGACATTTTTCCCTGCACACTCTGCTGGGAGCTGCTGTTTGCAAGATTATTCAGCACATGGGGGGGGGTGGGCAGGGGCAGCAGATACCATCGTTTCCCAGACTGTCCTCTGAGCTTCCGCCTCCAAGGGAAGCAGAGCGAGCCTCCCAAAGGCTCCAGTGCAGCGCGACCCACGGCTCTAACTGGGCAGCCCAGTTTGGCCGCCTCACCAAGTGGCAGTTTATAATAAGCACTCAGCACGTCTAAGTTGTCTCTTTCTAATAGTTAGCAGGTCAGTAATGTGGGGATTTATTTTTAATCTCTGCAGTGTGTTTACACACGGCCTGTATTAGCGTGGTTCTTTTGTAATGTTCTGAACCTAGCAGTAGGGAGCGTGGTAAAAGTGATGCACTCACATTGTTCAACTTCTGAGACATCAGCCAAAAGCAAACATTAATGTGTAATGCACACCTGCAGCATGCCAGGGACTTGTTTATTCTTTAACCCAGGGAGAGGACTAGTTTCATGTCCATTGTTGTGCCCTTGAGTCATTTCAGACTCCTAACAACCCCTGGGACAGAGGAGAATTGCCCCGTATGGTTTGCTAGGCTGTGACTTCCCAGGAGCAGATCACCAGATCTCTTCTCCCATGGAGCCAACTGGGTGAGTTTGAACTGCCAGCCTTTGTGTTAGCAGCTGAGCTTACTGTTGATCATGCCACCAAGGCTTCTTAACCTATCTGTAGCCATGTGTATATGTGTTTATATATGTGTTTACGTATGTGTATACGTGTGTGCATATATATATGTATGAAAATACACACATGTTGTTAGGTGTTGTTGAGTCGATTCTGACTCACAGTGACCTTATGTACAACAGAACAAAACACTGCCTAGTCCTGCGCCATCCACATCCTCACAATCTTTGCTATGCCTGAGCCCATCATTGCAGCCACTGTGTCAGTCCATCCCATTGAGCATATTCCCCTTTTTCATTGACCCTCTACTTGACCAAGCATGATATCCTTCTCCAGGGACTGGTCCCTTCTGACAAAATCTGTGAGACAAAGTCTGGTCATTCTCGCTTCCAAGGAGCATTCCACTGTACTTCTTCCAAGACAGATTTGTTCATTCTTTGGCAGTCCATGGTACTACTTTTCAGTATTCTTTGCCAACACCACAATCCAAATGCATCAATTCTTCTTAAATCTTCCTTATTCATTGTCCAGTTTTCACATGCATATGAGATGATTAAAAATACTGGGACTTGGGTCAACCACAACTTAGTCTTCCAAGTGACACGTTCACTCTTTAATACTTTAAAGAGGTTGTCTTAAGCTGAGTACTCTAGAGAACCAAAACCAGTGAATCTTTTCTTAGAGAAAAAAAAAGATTTCATCTAAGGGAAATGGCTCACACAGTTGTAAGGGCTGAGAAGTCCCATGTTTGTGTGTCAGACGCCAAGCTGGAGGCTTCTCCTGCTGCAGAGGCTTGCAGTGTAGCAGGCTGCTGGCTTCAGCAGGTGATGAATCAAGAAGAGCAGGTAAAATGGCAAATTGTTGGCTCCCAGACTGCAAAGGCAGCCATCCCAAGGTCTGCGGGCAGCACGGCGGGCCACTGGTTCGGCTCCAAGAACTGGAGATGATGAGCTCCCTGCAGGCTCGAGACTCAGCAGAAAGCCAGAGTGTTCCCAGGCTGTCCACACATATATCAGAAGCAGGCCACCCTCCTGAGGAAACTCCTTTCAACCGAGGGGCTACTCATGGACCATCTCATAATGGAAGTGGTTACATCACAGCTGCTTAAACCACTTAGAATCATGGTCCAGCCAAGTTGACACACAACTGAGTCTGGTGAAAAGGACACAGCCCCGATGCACACCCTTCCTGATTTTAAACCATGCAGTATCCCCTTGTGCTGTTGGAAGGACTGCCTTTTGGTCTGTGGACAGGTTCTGCATGAGCACAATTAAGTGTTCTGGAATTCCCATTCTTTGCAGTGTTATCTATAATGTTATGATCCACACAGTCAGATACCTTTGTATAGTCAATAAGATACAGGTAAATATCTTTCTGGTATTCTTTTCTTTCAGCCAAGATCCATCTGACATCGGCAGTAATGCCCTCTTTCCACTTCCTCTTCTGAATCTGACTTGAATTTTTGGCAGTTCCCAGTCAATATACTGCTGCAACCATTTTTGAATTATCTTAGCAGAACTTTACTTGTGTGTGGTATTGGTGATATTGTTCAATAATTTCTCCATTCTTTTGGATCACCTTTCTTTGGAATGAGCATAATACGTATCTCTTCATTCGGCTGGCCAGGTAGCTATCTTCCAAATTTCTTGGCTTAATCGAGTGAGCACCTTGCCTCCTGCGCTGTATCCATTTGTTGAAACATCTCAGTGGGTATTTCATCAGTTCCCAGAGCCTTGTTTTTCACTTCCAAATATATACATAAAGGAATCCATGTGGTTCATTGGTTAAAGTGCTCAACTGCTAACCAAAAGGTCTGCAATTTGAACCTACCAGCCACTCTGTGGGAGAAAAATGAGGCAGGCTTGTTGTGTAAAGATTTATAGCCTTGGAAACTGTGGGCCGGTCCTACTGTGTTCTGTAGGATTGCTGCAAGTTGGAATTGACTTGATGGTGGGATTGGCTTGGGTGGGTATATACATAGACATATAAACCAAAAAACCAAACTCAACTGCCATCGAGTCAATTCCAACTCATAGTGACCCCTCCTTGGGTTTCTGATGTGGTATCTCTACAGAAGTAGATTGCCCAGTCTTCCTTCTGAGGAGTGGCTGGTGGGTTTGAACCACTAGCCTTCTGGTTACCGGTCAGATGCCTTAGGCACTACACCACCAGAGCTCCTACATAGACATACACATACATGTATATGGAGCCCTAGTGGCACTGTGGTTAAGCTCTTGTCTGCTAACTGAAAGATTGGTGAACCCACCAGTCGTTTCATGAGAGAAAAGATGTGTCAATCTGTTTCCATATAGATTACAGCCTTGGAAACCCTATGGGCAAGTCTACTCTGCCCTGTAGGGTCATGAGGAGTCAAAATTGACTTGATGCCACACTACTCTGTGTGTGTGTGTATGTGTGTGTGTGTGTTTATCTATCCCTATACAGAGATATAAAATTATCTGAGAGAGGGATGGGAGTGAAAGATGGGGGTGGGATTTGAACGGAGCTCTTCAGTGTTCTTTCCACTGTACGTTCCAAGACGTGTTGCCTTCTTCAATGTTGGTCCACAGTAATTTATATCATGACCTTCTTGTCCCATCTAGTATTAAGCTTAAAGAAAAGAACAAAATCATTTCATGGATGTGACTCTAGGCCTCTTGGTTACATGTGACCAGCTGAGAGCAGAAGGTGGCCCTCAGTTGTAGCCACTGTTACTGAGAAAATCAAAGCTGCCCTCAGGTAGGCCTCTCCTCTCTCAGACACTTTGTCAGGCACACCACGGGGATTTGTCTCCTTCATTCTTCACAGTGGCACCGCAGTGCAGGTAGTGGCAAGGAAACAGGCTCTGAGAAGGGAAGTGGCTGGTCAACATAACACAGCTAGGAAGTGGCAGTGCCGGACTGGCCCTTGGGTCTTTGCGTGCCTGCTTCCCTGTGTTCACTAAGCTCTGTGTCTTGGCATGAACCTTTTCTAAAAGCCATTGTCTGAAGCAGGGCGTCTTCTGGGCTGGGTTTACAAAAGGCTCACAGTCTCATCAGGTGAGTGGATTTCCTGTGATCTAGTTAAGATAAATATTAAGAATACCTCATCTTTTTCCCCCACAGATCAGCCATGGATTTGGAATATTCCTTATGTCAAAGCACCAGATACACATGGGAACATGTGGGTCCCTTCCTGAGATTTACAAAGCTGAGGGATGTAAGTGGACGACACGGAGCCCCAGACGGATTGGGGTTGTTTGCCCTCTGTGTTCACGTCCCTTAAAATCTCGTCTGTTCCCTGGAGAAACTCTTTGCCGAGGTCACTCTTGTGAACAGGGACATTGGTTATACTTTTAATGGTTGTTATTAACATTCTCACTAAAAAAAAAGTGGTATTTTTTTAGCTCACTTTTGTGTACTTAAGAATGAAAGCTATTAAACTTCACAGTGTCAAAGATTCAGATATGAAATTATCTTCCTGGCGTGGAATCCGGCGGCGGTGTGAGCTGTGCGGAATCAGCCTTAACTGTGTGTTATGCTTCCGGTCTCCCTCGGGACAGGTGCTCTTCGTTCTCACTCGCCCAGAACGTCTGGAGAAAGACCGGCCGTTTTCTGTTTCACGTGCGTTCTTTTGGCTTCCTGAGTACAGCTAGGGGTGGAGGTGGGGGTCTGCAGGTGTTCCTGGGATCTGTCTTTGGAGGGTATGTCACCTCACCCCCTGCACAGTCTGGTCACCCTCCACGGGAACCTGGTCGCTGTAGTTTCTGCAGCCTTCATCCTCAGTTTCACTCGACTTCTCCTCCCTCTGTGGCAACTCATTGCTTACACAGAACCCCACTGGACCAGACCACCTGCCCTTTCCTCACCTACTGCCCATGGTGGATGGGTGCCTCTTAGAAGAAATCCTGAAAGGCAAACTCACTCAGAGCCCTCAGTTCACAAGGAAGCAGGTGAAGGCCCAGGAGGGTCAGGAGCAGCCCCAGTCACACAGCCCCCGGTCACACAGCCAGCCTGTGTCACACAGCCCCCAGTCACACAGCCGGCCTGTGTCACACAGCCCCTGGTCACACAGCCCCCAGTCACACAGCCGGCCTGTGTCACACAGCCCCCGGTCACACAGCCGGCCTGTGTCACACAGCCCCGGTCACACAGCCCCCGGTCACACAGCCAGCCTGTGTCACATAGCCCCGGTCACACATACACCCCAGTCACACAGCCGGCCTGTGTCACACAGCCCCCGGTCACACAGCCGGCCTGTGTCACACAGCCCCCGGTCACACAGCCCCCGGTCACACAGCCGGCCCGTGTCACACAGCCCCCGGTCACACAGCCGGCCTGTGTCACACAGCCCCCGGTCACACAGCCTGTGTCAGAGCAGTGAGTATCCCTTCTGCCTTGTGTGCACATGGCTTCCTACTTAAGACTCGGGTTTTCCTTGGGTTGTTTAGACCTGGTTGGCTTTCTTCTGCCCCAGACTGATGGCTGGTTTGTCCCCAGCCTCTTGTCTTAGAATTTGCAGGAGAGTTGAATGTTAATTCTGAAAGAATTTTTTGAGCAGTTTTTCATGCTATTCCTCAGTACCCCAGATCCCCAGAGGGACCTTGGGAACTCTCAGGGGTAAGTCGGGGTGCTGCTATGAAGGCAGTGAAGAGGCTGGAAGACAGGTTTCCAGGCCCTTCTGCTCCCTTCCCCAGCCCCTGCTTCCATCAGAGAAACTTACCTATTTTATATCTTGAGATTCTTTAAAGGACATTCCCTGGATTTGGGGGTGGGGGGCAGGCAGTTCAACTTTAAAAAGTCATCAGGCCATTGAATTAGTTGAACCAGTTCACTTTACAGATCAGAAAACAAAGCCTGAAGCCTTTCTGACCCTGCCTTCCATTTCCCAGAACACGGGAACGCGACATCAGCCGAGCCCCACTGCTGTGGAAGGAAACTAGGAGAGCCCCGTGGGTTGGCAGCAGACCGACATAGCACTGGGGCTGGCCAGAGGGGTGCCCGGCAGCGTGCACTCTGTAGCCCTTCCTAGTGGGGGCCACGGCAGGGTGGACAAAGGGAGTTGATAGCAGGAGTTTCTGGGCAGTGCCAGGTGAGCCTTGCAGTCCACGGGGACAGCGACGTCGTGATGGCTGGAGATGGCAGCCTGCTGTGGAGGAGAACCCAGAGAACGTGGCTGCTCGGCGTCAGCTCGGCCACAGCGGTGGGTCGGCAGCCGGCAGGCACGGAGGCCTGAAGGGGACAATCAGATGGGTTCCTCCCCACATCCGGTCCACACCTGGAGGCACGAGAGCTGCTGGAATCCGACTGGGGGGCTGGAATCCCAGCTGTGCCCTTACTGGCTATGCCACTTCAACCAACCTACTTAACATCTGTACAAGAACTGTACCAGGGATCGTGCTCCTCCTATGGCTGTCATTCACGGTGTTTATCCTCATTTTACTCATCAGGACACTTGGGCTCAAAAAGGCAAAGTGCTTGTCCCAGGTCACACTTCCAGAAAATGCTGTGACCAGAATTTGAACCCAGCTCTGCAGCATCAAAACCTCCCCTCGTAACCGCTCCCTGTACCGCTAGCTGGACCAAGCTCCTGGGCAGTGCTTAGACCAGGGACCAGTGTTCCCCAATCCATTGTGTACAGAAACTTACCGAATACAAAGCCAGGTGCTTCCCTGTCACCACACTGTCAGATTGCTATGCCTGCTTCTAAGTGCTTGCTCCTACTTTCTGTAGTTACCACAGACTGGCCTGGTCCACGGGCCACCCAAGGTGTAGCACTGCTCTAGGCCCCTGGGGACCTGGAAGCCAGTCAAAACCAGCAGAAGCCCCGTGGAGTGGGATGGGTAGATGTGTCGAGCTAACAGTGAGGGAAGCTGTGGTCAGAGCACACACGTCACTAGGCATCAAGGCTCGTCCCCTGACTGGAGCTCTCGTGTGCCCCTTGCCCTGATTGGGAAGGACAGCTGAGCCAGGCCAGCATAGATAGGGGCCAGCACTGTGTGCTTTCTGAGAGCAGTGGGTGCCATCCGTGGGAAATAAAGTAATGCTCCAAGAATAAGCAAAAACATTAGGGAACACGGAAAGGGAGCCACTCTGCCCATCTGGTTTTTCCTAATGGGATTGACTACCCAGAGGTCTGCGATACAGCACCATCAACATGCTAACAATTTCAGGGAAGCTGTGCTCTGTTAGTCTCGTGTTGGGGTTTAACAGTTGTTTCTAACGCCAGAAACCCTCACCTCCCTGTTTGCATAAAGCTACAGGTCCCCTTTTAGCCAGTTTATCATCTCCTCCCACCCTTTCGAACTTCATGGGAACACTTTGTCCATTGACTTTCTATCTCCTGACGCCAAACTTTTACACAAACGAATCTAATCTCTTCTCCGTAAACTGCCAATACTGGAGATGCCCCATCTCTGGAAGGCATTTCTCTGTGGACAAAGGGAATCATGGCCTTTTTCATCTAAAGTTTTATCTTGTTCTTTAGAAGTCTTCCCTAACGTCCTGTCACTGAGATGGGAATGTAGCCAAAAGTCTAAATGAGCTTTTCACACTATGAGTTTCACTGAATGCTTAAGCTGTTAGAGACCTACAAACATGTTGAAGGAGCCCTGGAAGTGCAACGGTGAACCGCTGGGCTGTGAACCAAAAGATCAGCAGTTTGAACCCACCCAGCAGCTCGACAGGAGAAAGACCTGGTGATCTGCTGCCACAAAGATTAAACCCCAAAACCCACTGCCGCAGAGTTGATTCCAGCTCATAGCGACCCTATAGGTTAAAGCCTAGAAAAGATACTGTAAAGATTGTTGTTGTTATGTGCCGTCGAGTCGGACCCGACTCAACGCAACCCCTCCTTGGGTTTCTGAGGCATTATCACTACGGAAGTAGATTGCCCCATCTTCCTTCCGAGGAGTGGCTAGTGGGTTTGAACCGCCAGCCATCATCTGGTTAGCAGTCAGGTGCCTTAGGCACTATGCCACCAGAGCCTAGGAAATCCTATGTGGCAGTTCTACCTGTCATGTGGGGTTACTGTGAGTTGGAATTGACAGCACAACAAAAAACTGGTGAAACACAGAACTGTCCCAACCCCGTCAAGGAGGTATTATACCAGTTTTCCAGATGAGGAATCTAAGATGATTTGTCCAAAATTGCACAGCTACCAAGTAGCAGGGCTGAGATTTGAACCGAGGCAGTTTTGCTTCAGAGCCGTGCTGTCCTGCTGCGAGGAGCCAGGCAGCTAGTGAGGCAGCTGGTGCCAGGCTCCAGGCAGGAGCAGGCCTCGTGTGTATGACCTGTAACTCAGTGCAAAGCTGGGTGTGCTTTCATCCACGCTAATAGATCATAGTTGGCGTGACAGAACCAACCAGTGGCAACATAAAATCAGCCCATCAATGTCATGTTAGCTTGCAGGACTGAGCGGCTGACTTATTAAAGCCACACCCAAGTGACAGCAGCAGGTTCCTTTCAAGTCAGAGCACCACAGTGCTAAAAACTTAGCCATGCGAAGTGTGTTCTGCAAAACTCTGACAGAAACCATGTCGTTTTCATCAGCTCCCCGGCTCTGAAGCCCAGAGTGGAAAGAAGAAGGTCTAGTGTCAGAAGAAGCTGCAGAAAGGGGAGGGGAGAGGAGGAGGCAGCCCAGGAAATGGGGTATCTGGATATGCTAAAAATGAAAACACCTCACAAGCCAACAGTGGGACCAAATCCCTGCAAGTTTTGGTGCCATCTGTTTGTATTACACATTTTACCACATTCCAGTTGATGCATATAAATTCCACTTCAATCTTCAAGCCCACGAGAAACCGGACCAACAGTACAGCCTAACCGATGTTTGTCGTCTGTACCACAGGCACTTGATTCTGTTTCTCCGGCCCCTTTATAGCAAGGTTTTCAGAGAGCCCTGATTAAGAACGGGATGCGTCTGGACCCATGTCCTCTTTTAACACCTGGGAAAAAAGCCCAGGGAAAAAACACCAAGCAGACATGTCCACAGAGCATTTATTAGGGCTCAGCTGTCATCGCAGGTAATGAAGTGTATCTTTTTCATCCTGTGGAGCAGGTGAGTCTGTCCTCATAAGAGGACAATAAGGTTCAAGTCGCATCACTGGGTAACGAACAAGGGCTGTGCCTCTGATTGGTGGAGTTAGGTTTGTTCTGACTGAGCCAGCACATATCCCTTTAGGACCTCAGGGACACAAAT